AAGTTTGCATCACATATGAACAAACCGAAAGCAATAGCTGTGCAATCGTTGGGTAAACATCACCAAATATTAGCTTGCATGTTTAGTCATATGTAAAGGACACATTTTTAATATATATCAGATTTGTTTTGGCAGTTTAGTAATGTAAAAATTATATTTTTAATCCCAGGTGTTTACGAAACTGCAACGTAACTGGCGTTGGTGTGTCTTTTGTAGTAGTTATACCCTTTTCCCCATCTGTTTTTTGTTTTGTTTTGTTTTTTTCGGGGTAAACGCCTTGTGTAGGGTTGTATCTCCACTTGTTTTTGACCGTTTTACAAAGTCCAGCTGATAACCAGTTATACCTAGCTCTTTTTACGCCTCGAGGTTATTTCAAGTGAGTCATAGAAGGAGACGGGTTAGGCCTACTTTCATCGCACCCATATATGGGCTATACGCAGCATGACGCTAAAGAAAGGGTACGAAGGCGGTTCACTGAACATGGGGAAGCTATTAAAAACACATACTATAAAAACTTATAATTTTCATCTAGGTCTTATTTTAAACGTAAAATTTTACATTGGCAGAGCTCATATATTTAATAAATTTAATCTTTAACTTGAAATTTATATTTTTTCAAGTTCATAATGTTTATATTCTTTTAATCTGTGCGTATGTTATGCGTGCCATTTTGAAATAACTTAGGCTACATAATCAAGTCGGACATTATTGGTCTAGTGCTTACAAATTCTGTAAATAAATAAGGCGTATTTTATTTCTTCTTTAATATTACTTTCATTAACAATACTGATTAGAATGATTAATATATATATTTATTTATTGTTATGTATAATTTTTGATTATAAAGATAATTTTACATTGTTAAATTAGTATCTGGATTTAGGACTAATCTAAATATCAAAACTGGCCGAACATCATAAAATATTATTGGTCTTACTGTTGATGAAACAGTGCGTTCCAATAACTAAAAGAATGCGCGTAGAAACAGTATATTTACTCAACTATACTCATACTAAGTCGAATGCTTAGTTTTGTTCTAAGAAGGAAGCGTGCTTTGACCACAGTTAATATTAACTATCGTTCAGTTAACTATTCATCGAATTAAAATTACTCGTAGACTTAAAACACAGAAACTCGACAAAATGAATTACGTAATTCTGAATTTGCGCATTTATTTTGATGAAACAAAAATAAACCAATATAAATCAGAATAATTTCACTGTTAAATAATAATTTGGATCATGCAACTGCGCTTCATTCTGAATATTAGACTAAAACATTTGTATTTAGTTATTTTTTAATCACTCGAGTCGTCTGCCATACTTCAGTCAAACGTAGAATCAAAAATTAATAACTCAGTCCCTGTATTAATAAGCTTTTGTCAAACATTGTTGAACGTTTCTTAACTGTGTATTTCGTAACAGCGACAACCGTATTGCATGTACGAAGTAAGCCCGTACTGGTGGGTGTATGTTACCATGATATTATATACATATCTATTCTACTCTTGCTCAATTCACTCGTCAACATTTTGTTTTATTATGTATTACTAGCTGGCGCTACAAGTTTTTGGGAAACGACTTTCACGTTTGTGAGTTTGGGTTCGGACATAATACTTGCTTGATTATCTATATGTATATTGTTTTTTAAGGTTTAAAAATATTATAATAAAAAACATTATATTTATTTGTTGTTTTAGTTTTAACATGTTAGATGTTTGTGTATTGAGCTATTATAACAATAATACGTAACTTATTTACAATAACAAATGTCTAATTATAGTATTTTGGCACTTGTGTATAAAGTTAAAATTAAAAATGTCTATTTAGTTTAGTTTTGGCACTATGCGTGATTATGTGGTGACACGTTAAACTTCTATAGCTGCATAGCGTTTCAAGGAAAATCCTGTTTAAACTTTGTACTGTTTTGTTGTTGTTGTTTCGTTTTTTGTGTATTGTACAATTTAAACTTACACATATTTGCTTGATAATAATATTTTTTTCTTCTTACTTAACCTAGGTCCAACTAGCAAAGATGCAAGTCATTCCAAATCTCCATCATACACGTTTGGAGTGAAGTAAGTATCTTGGGGTGTCATTGTCGTTTTAGATAATTTCATGAGTATAATCGAAACTAGGATACGTCTCCTAGAAACAATTTTAACTCTTAATATCTTTTTTTTTTCCATAGCTTCATCAGTGGCTGAGTGGTAAGTCTGAAGGGCTAAAAAATTGAGTTTCGCTATCGGCGGTGTGTTCGGAGCACAGTTTGGCCATTGTATAGCTTTGTGCTTAACAAACAAATAGACATAGTATATTTAAGTGGTTTACACTCTCAAAAAAGAAACCTATCATTCTATAGGTATTTGAAGAACTGGCTCACAGACACACCACCATTGAAAAAATAGACCATTCCAAGCTTTTACTTGTTGTTAAACAAATGTTTAAACAACTCTATTCAAACAAATAGACATAGTATATTTAAGTGGTTTACACTCTCAAAAAAGAAACCTATCATTCTATAGGTATTTGAAGAACTGGCTCACAGACACACCACCATTGAAAAAATAGACCATTCCAAGCTTTTACTTGTTGTTAAACAAATGTTTAAACAACTCTATTCAAACAAATAGACATAGTATATTTAAGTGGTTTACACTCTCAAAAAAGAAACCTATCATTCTATAGGTATTTGAAGAACTGGCTCACAGACACACCACCATTGAAAAAATA